GCTTCCTCATCCTTTAAATATCTGATTAAATGTCACTTGATCATCTAGAGCTTCCCCAACCATCATATTTAAAATAATCCTCCCTTGTACCAGCAATTAAGGAGCTCCAAAGGTACAGGGGTTAAGGCATTTGGCTGCTAACCAAAAGGTTGGCAGTTCAAATCTACCAGCTGCTCCATGGGAGAAAGAGGAGGCAGTCTGCTTCCATAAAGATTTACAACCTTGGAAACCCTACAGGGCAGCTCTACTCTGTCCTATGGGGTTGCTTTGAAGTGGAAGGACTTGATGGCAGTGGGTAGGTACCAACAATTTGCCCTCGAGCCTCATGCAAATGTGACACCTGTATATTGTTCATTTATTTTGTATGTCTCCCTCTCTAGAATGGAAGCTCTATGAGGGCACGGGCTTTGCTTTGATCACTGCTGAGCAGTGCCTGGCCTGGGCTAGGCATTCAATAAACGCTTATGGAATAAATGAATGGGCTTAGCCATTGGGCAACACGATTCAAGGTTTCATAGTTTATGATTCTAGGTCTCTAGAGTGTGGGTGTTGGGGGCATTCTGAGCCCAAAGACAGGGCCTCTGAAGAGGGGGGATGATCCTCCAAGGACACCGAGCAGTCACAGGGGTCAGTGGCTCCACTGACCACTACTCTGTCCTGGAAGAATGGGGTCCATCAAAGTCTCCCTCTCTTTCCCCATGGAAGGGGCTCTGATACATTGCAGTCTCCACATTCTTGGTAATGTTGGTCTTCCTGATGAAAGCTGCTCCCCAAAGTCTGAATGGCCCATGAGGACCACCTAGGAGGCAAAAGGAGTTCACTAGGCCAGGGTTCTAAACTCTCTAAGTTGTAAGGGCTTCAAGTTCAAAGATGGGCAAACTGAGGCCCCAGGTGGGGAGGGACTCATCTAGTACCCCATAAGCAATGCTGAGCAATACAAGCAGGAGACTTAGCCCCAGAACCCCAGGAGGGGAGCAGAACCAGAGGAGGAAGCAGAGGTCTAGTCCTGTGCCCCTGTCTCACTGTGTGACTTCAGACAAATCACACAACCTCTCTGGACCTGCTTTACAAGAGAGGGAGCCCTATGTTCTCAGGCTGCGCATGTCCACATGTCCCGTAGTGCTCCTGCTCCCCCTCCCATCATGGAGCCGCCAGGCCTTCCTGTTTACTTGCAGCCCCTCTCCAGGCTGGGAGGCAACAGCCTTGGCCTCCTCTACTCCCCATTTCCTTCCTCTCCCACTTCAGCGCCTCCGGGCCCAGCCCTTGGGGCTCCCCGAGGCCAAGACACGGAGAACGCAGTCCAGGGGGGCATCTGAGGCCACTACCCCAGTGGAGCCTGCCAGGGGGCACTCTGTCTCTGAGGCTCCAAGTTATAGAGGCACTAATCCCACTGGCTGGTTAGAAAGTTCCAGCACCATAGGGCAAGCTGCTGTCGGGAGTATCCCTAGAGATGAAGAGGATGTGACAGCGCGGACCTTCTCAGACCCAATGTCATGCCACACCTACCTTTCAGCCCACCAATGGGAGATGAGCCACAGGCTGACCCTAGAGTTGGCACCACACCCTTCTGTCCACAACTCCTCCTCCCTGCCCTCACACTGGGCTCCCTGCTCTGGTCCTCTCTCTGAAAGCAGTTTCTCCAAGACCTACCCAAAGTGTAGTCCTCAGCCAGCAGGCTGAGCATCACTGGCTCAACCCAGACCTGCAGAAGCAGAAGCTTCCTTTTAACCAGACTCTCAAGCAATTCATGAGTGCTTAAGCCCTAAAGCGCTGCAGATCTGACCAGCCCACTGGCTTCTGAAACTCTTCATGACTGTCACCTGTTCCTCTCCCCTTCCCTGCTTAACCTGTGTCTGTGAAGCCTTTGCAATTAACTCGCAGTTTATAGGAGATTCAGGGGATGGAGGGGCAAGTTAAAGGACAACATAAGGAAGCAATGTATTGGGAAGGAGGAATTTTCTGCAGGACAACTGGTTCCTTCACAGATCAATGTCATAAAAAAAAGGGGGGGGGGAGCATGGAGGAAGGAGTTGCTCTAGATTAAAATACAACCAAATACAATGTATGGTCATAGATTGCAATATGTTAAGACACATTTTAGGGATAACTGGGAAATTTTGCACATGGGCTGAGTATCAGCTATGATGATATTATTGTTAATATCATTGGATGTGTCATTGAACCTCTCTCCAAGTCATGGTTATTAAATAGGAAGCTGTCATTTTCAGAGAGTTATACTGAAGTATTTAAGGGTAAAATTTCTTCATATCCTTAATTTAAAATACTTGGGCAAAAGAAAAATACTAAGGAAAGAAATACGGAGAAATGTTAACAATTACTAAATGTTGGTGGTGGGTGGTCATTAGGCTATGTCTTCCAATGTTCATTTGGTTTGAAATTTTTCATTAAAAAAAAAAAAAAACTTTGAGTCTCCCATTGCCTCCAGGAGAAAGGCCACAGATTTGGGCTGTCATTCAAGGCCCTGCAGGCCTGGCCCCTACCTCCTCCATGCTTCTCTCTTGCTGCTGCCCTAGCCTGCATGCCAGCACCCAGATCTCAGCCCTCCCTAGCCCAAACAAGTGTTCTCCAGTTCTGCATAGCTGTTCTCTCTTCCTTTCCATGCTGTCTTCCAGCAAACTCCTAGGTATCTCCAAGTCCCCGTGCCAGAGCTCTAGTCAGGGAAACTTCCACGTGCCAGGATATGCTCTGAGCACAGTGCACTGAGCTACCTAGACTGTTCTTGGCTGTGTAGGTCAGATGGAGCCACATCACGGTGAGCCAGGGTTTTGTGAGCCTCTGTCTCACCGACACGGCCTGGCACACAGTACGTACTCGGGAAATGTTTGCTGAAGGAACAAACGTCCACAGAGGGACCTTTCAAAGGAGGATTTATGGCGGCAAGGATGGGTGGTGTTTACTAGAGCTTTTAAACGTTTTGTGCTTTTCCAGTTTTCAGCAAAGAGGGTGTATTTGTGTGCATACATAATCTATATTTTCTATATATATATTTAGCAAATGTATTTTTTAAGTGAATAAATAAAGTTATTCTCTGCTGAATAGTTTGCGATAGCTTAGGTTTTTCATAAACTAAACATGCCTGAATTAGTCAAATTATAATTAAAAAAAAAATAAAGTTAATGATAATTTTGCCAGGTAGGTTTCTGTAGTTTTTTATAAACTTTGATGTATTTTTCCCACTAACCCTCAGACAACCATGATAGAAGGTGTGTATGAGAGTGTGTACATGGTATGGTGTATGTGTATGTGATGGTGGTATGTGTGTGGTATGATGTGTGCACTGTATGTTTCTAGTATGATGTGCATCTGGGTGGTGCATGATATATGTGTGTGTGCTATGGTGTGCATGTGTGTGTATAGTGTGGTATGGATGTGTGTGTGTGGTATATAGTATATATGTGTGTGGTGGGGGGGTGTGGTATGGGGAAGGGGTTTTTTTTTAGCCCAATTCAACAATATCAAGACCTAGAGGTGGGAGGCAACTTGACTGAGGTCACACAGTGAGTTGGGGTTCCTGGATTTACTGCTTCTCCTTCCGCCCCAGGCTAATGGGAGAAGCAGAGAGACCAGCTGTGGAGTAGGTGGGTGGCAATCTTCCCCCACACCTGTCCTGGGCAGGATGGCTCACCACGTCTGCTGGGTCAGGGAGGGCCTGGTTGTGACCCCCTCCCCGCCCCACACACAATGACACCCGCCTTCTCCCATCTCCCCTGGACTATCATTTATTGATCCCACATTCCTCTTCCAATAGACTCACCTTTTATAACTTAAATAGATTTATTTAAAATCACTAATGTAAATGGAAAACCAGCCCCACTTGCCATAAATAGAAAGGGGCACAAAATGAGCACATCAACCTCAAAAGACGGAATTTCACTCCAGCCAGGGTGTGGCTGCTGCAGCAAGGCTGGGCCCAGCCCTTAGATTTAAAGGGAGATCAGCCAGGGATAGTGCCTGAGGCATCTGACTGCTAACCAGAAGGCTGGCGGTTCAAACCCACCAGCCACTCCTTGGAAGGAAGATGGGCAATCTACTTCTGTAGTGACAGGGAAACCCAAGGACGGGTTGCTATGAGTCAGATCTGACTCGATGGCAGTCAGTTTGTTTTCTGTTGTTGTTTTAGGGACACGTGAGCACCAACCACACTGAACCTCCTCCATGATGAGGTCAAAGAGTGAAAGAGGACAGAAAGGATGATCGTTCCCCTCTGGGACTCTAGGGCACCCCAAGACATCTCTGGCCCTCCATGCTCATCTCCAGCACCCAAAGGGCACGAGAACCGACAACCCACACAACTTGCTTAGGGCGTTCTTGTCCACCTTGAGGAACAGATGGAGAGGACCACTGAACCCACTTTACAGACTTGGAAGTGGGCTCAGAGAGTGCATGCTGTAAATCTCACAGTGGGATTCCTTCCGGTCTCACCTCCCCAGGGAGCCCACTCCTGGTCATGGCCCCCATTCAATTACCATGAGCTTTTCCAGACCCTCGGGGTATCTTGTATGAAGGGTAAGTAGACACCAATTCACAGCCCACTCAGCCCAGGAAGCCCCAAGAGCAGGAGGAGAGGACCCCATGCTCCTCACTGTGTCCCAGGTGCCAGAGAGGATCAGGCCCAGGATAACTGCTCAGGAACAAAGGACAAGACACCAGCTTCAGAGCTGAGGGGTTGGGGCTGAGGCCACGCGGCATGGGTGCAGAGGAACCCAGGCCGGGGCCTGGCTTTGCCTGATCACGAGACCCGAGCGGAGAGAGCAAGGATCCCTGCCAGATCCTAGGCCTCGCACAGCCTGGGTGGGGCACACCCTGCCTGAGGAAGGGTCCTGGGGCTTCCACTGCAGCTACGGGAGGGACAGCTATCTAAGGTGAGCAAAGGGGCCCTAGGAGATAGGAGAGGGTGAGGGGCTGCTGGTACAAGGAGGGGGCTGCTAAATGTATGCATCAACTCTGATTAGAAGCAAAGAAAAAGGAGTAAAACCAAATGTCCTTGGAAATTCCTTTAGTGCTCGGCTGTCCATGAAAACAGGATAAAGTAGCTTCCTCTGTCTGTGCTCCAGCCGGGGAGGGTGGAGGCGCTGGGCTGCGGCCAGGACGGCCTGGAGTCAGGACAGGGATGGGGCAGGACTCTGAGCTGGGGAAGAGGCTCCAGGCTTTGCTACTTCAGGGCATCCAGGTAGGTGCAGACCTGGGAGAAGACACTGTCCACGGAGCCTTCAGCATTGACCTGTGGAGGAGACAGGCCTTGAGGAAGGAGGTGGCTGGGAGGGCTTCCTGAGGCTCCATGCTGGGGAGGGCGGGGTGGACCCCACTGAGGCAGGAAGACAGACCAGCAGATCTCCCCGTGGAGGCCAGGCTTGGTGGCCTGAGCCCAGCCAGAGTAGATGGCAGCCCCTCACTGAACCAGCAGGGAAATCAAGGCCCAGAGTGGGTAGCAAGATGAGGCTAAACCAGGTGAAAACTTGGATTGGGGGCCCCCCCTCAGACCCACAGGAGCTCTGATAGCATAGTGCCTAAGGCGCTTGACTGCTAACCAGAAGGCTGGCGGTTCAAACCCACCAGCCACTCCTCGGAAGGAAGATTGGGCAATCCTACTTCCATAGCGATACTGCCTCGGAAACCCAAGGAGGGGTCGCTATGAGTCGGGGCCAACTCGACGGCAAACAACAACAACAACCTCAGACCCACAGGAGGCACACCTTGCGCACAATGCCACGTTTCTCATAGAAGGCGATGACAGGCTCAGTGGCCTTATAGTAGGTCTCCAACCGCTTTTTAATGGTCTCCTCATTGTCATCCACACGCCCACTGGTCTCTCCACGCTTCAGGAGCCGCTGGGTCATGGTCTCGGGGCCTGCGTCCACATACAGCACTAGCGTGGGCTTTCCAATCTGCAAGTACCAATCACAGGGGCTCAATTCTTGTTCCTTGGGGCTATCTCTTCCCCATACCACTAGTGAGGTCCACTTGAGGCCCACTAAGACCTTTATTCCCCTCTGCAAGGCAGCCTGAGGGATTATCCTAAACCCAACTCCCCTGCTCCAACCTCTGCCATAGCTCCCCAGTACCCTCAGGAGAAAGTCCAAACTCCTTACTTTAAGGAGGGCCTGCCCTCCTTATCTCATTCAACTCCCTCCTTCACACTTTGTTTCAGCCACACTGACCTTCTGTGTGGTCTAGGCTCTCAGCAGCCTCCTTCTCATGCCACACCTTTACACCTGCAGTTCCCCCTGCCAGGAACCCTCACCCTCACCTTCACCTCAACATCAACCATCCCCTTCAGGTTTCAGCTCAAATCTCACTTGTGCAGGGTAGTCTTCTCAAATGCTACCCCACCCCCAACATGCTCCTTCAGCCCCTGTACCCTGCCCTGGAGGATGTCTCGCAAGGGCCTCTGGTTATTACATATCCCTTCCCTCAGCCAGGTTGAGGTCCTCTGAAGACAGGGAGGCATCTGTCTTGTACCCCGCAGTGCTGGACAAAGGACCAAGAGATGAGGGAAAGGATAAGGTGCTGCAGAGTTCTGAGGGGTTCTGAGCAATGGCACTGTGACAGGAATCACGTGTCATCCCCTGAGAGGACTCGAAGAGCAAGGAGAAATAAGTGTCCCCTCCACAGGTCCCTGCCCAAGCTTGCATCCACTGAAGCCAAAGAGGGTGGCCCCTTTCCTCTGCCTGACCCCAAGAGCAAGGACCAGCCTCTTGGTCACCACTGGATCTCCAGCCTGGGCCCAGCCTGACCCATCATGCCCTGTTTTAGAAAGGGCCCTGGGGCTTCCATGGAGCTAGAGGAGGGGTGGCTGGTGAAGGTGAGCAGAGTCACCTATGGCTGCCACGGCCTTAGGATCAGAGTCAGGCCCTCCCACCCGAACCTGACCGTCTCTGTCGGTCCCCAAGAGCCGCTGCCCCAGACTGCAATCAGGCCTTGGGTTTGGAGAGTGTTGTTGTTACGTGCCGTCGAGTCGGACCCAACTCATAGTGACCCCTCCTTAGGTTTCCAAGGCAGTATCACTATGGAAGTAGATTGCCCAACCTTCCTTCTGAGGAGTGGCTGATGGGTTTGAACCGCCAGCCTTCTGGTTAGCAGTCAAGTGCCTTAGGCTCTACGCTACCAGAGATTTCTAGCATCAGAGTGACCTGGACTCCATCCAGACTCGCCTCTGCCCCTCGCCAGCTGTGTGACCTTGAGCAAGCCACTTGCCCTCGGTGACCCTCTGCTTCCTTGGTTGTAGAAAGTGCCTAATTCTCATCCACATCTCCTAGGTAGTTAAGGATTCAGGTGCTCCCATCTTACAGATGAGGCGAGTGGCAGAGCTGGGCCTAGGGCCAGCAGTCTGACCCCAGCCCCAAGGTCACTTTCTTATCACCCTCCATCAGCTGCCAAGCTCCCTCAGGGCATACACTCACAGTATCTGTGAATTTCCAGGGCCCACACACAGTAGGCTCTTTATACATCAAACCAAACCAAACCCACTGCCATGTAGTCAATTCCAACTCGTGGCAGCCTTCATTGGGTTTCCTAGGCAGTAAATCTTTATGGAAGTATATTTCCCAGTCTTCCTTCCAAAGAGTAGCTAGTGGGTTTGAACTGCTGACCTTCTGGTTAGCAATCAAATGTCTTAGGCACGGTGTCACCAGAGCTTGTTTTTATACACCAACTATAGCTAATATCTCAGCCCCTGGCAGAAGTAGGGAATCTATGAGGTCTAGCTGAGGCTCTGGGCTGGGAATCCGGAGTGAGGTTCTGGTTGTGGGGTCTCAGTTTCCCAGTCGGGACAATGGGCACCAGACCTGTGAAGTTCAAGCTGGGCCCTTTACCCATGCACCCAGAGCACTCCCGCCCCAGCAGGCCCTTCCTCAGTTGGTGAGGTCTTGGTGCCCCCTGGTGTCCAGAGCCAAGAAGACCAGCTGCCCAGATCCATGGAGATCACAGCCAGGCTGGGCCCTGTGCTAAAGCCGCCACCCTCAGTAGCACCCACAACAGCCCAGGAGGGATGGGGACTTTCATTAACTCTGCTTTCTAGATGCACTTCTGAGGCTCAGAGGTGATGTCACACGGCTGGTACGTGTGGGCCAGGGCAATACATCAATCAGCTAGGAGGCTGTCTAGCTCCTGACCAAGACTTCCTAGGCTAAAAAAAGCCCAGCCAACCCCCATTGCACACATAGGGACTGAGGCCCAGAGCAGGGCAGACACTTTCTTGAGGTCATGTAGCCACTTAGAAGTCAAGCAACACCATCTCCTGCCACTGGATGAGGCTCAAAGTTATGGCAGCCAAAAGACAGCCTTAGCCTCACAGAGATGGGGAGCAGAGACAGGATGGGGTACAGGGAGGGTCGGGCCCCTCCCCTAGCCCACTAGATGCCCAGTCCTTCCTGCAAAGTTTCTTCCTGGGCCTTCTGTCAGGAACCCGTCCCTGAGACCCACACCTATCCTTACTGACCTCTTCCTCCTAGGCACTTGCAGGCCTGTCTACTTCCCCTCTATGGCCTTGTGACACCAGAAGCCTGAGCGTGCATGCGTACATGTGTGCATCTGTGTGGGGCTGTATATGTGGGTGTGCCTACATGCAGCTGTGCACACCTGTGTGTATTCTTGTGCGTGTGTGAGCTCTGTGTGCCTATGTGCATATGCGGTGTACAAATATGTATGTGCCTGTGTACATGTGCGTGTCCATGCAAGGTGCCCCCTCTGTGGAAAGTGTTCCTGGTGGGGGCCCCTTCTAGGAAGCGCAGAGCCATCATTCTCAAGGCCTGCTCCTTCCAGTCAGACATCTGTGGGTCTTAGAAGGAGACCAGACTACTCTCTCTGGCACTTACAGCCTCTAGTCAGGCCTGAACCTCCTTCTCTCACATCACCCCCAAGCACCCCACCCCACACCTTCTGTCCTCCCCACACTGGCTCATTACCTTTCCAGCCTTATCCATGCTGTTCCCTACTCCTCTACCTGTGTTTCTGGGGTGTCAAACCCCACTCTTGAAGGGTACATCTCTCTAATCCCCACAGCTGCCCCTCAAGGCAACTGTGACTTGTCTCTTCTTACTTTACAGATGGGGAAACTGAAGCTCAGAGAAGTGCAATGATTAGCCCAAGGTCCCAAGTCATCAGCTGGAACCTGAGCCCAGTTCTGTGCACTCCCCAGACTGGTGCTTCCCCTTCTATGCCTCTTCTTCCAGTAAGTCTTCTCTGGTTTCTCCTCCTTACCCACACACCTCCTCCTCCTCCTGCTCTTCCTCCCCTTAGCACGCTGGGATCAATTTCTCTCTGCTCAGCACTCCCAGAGCTCTGTCTGGCCACTTGGCTGCCCTGCATCACAGCCCCCTGAAGGCCAGCCCATGCAGGTTCATGCCTTACCCGCCGCTCAAACTCTTCGCCCTGCTGCACCTCCCGTGGGTAGCCATCAATCAGGAAGCCTTTGGAAGTATCTACTTTGGCCACCATGGCATCTCGCAGCATGTCCAACACTGTCTCCTAAGGTTGCAACAGAAGGGAAACGGCCGTGAGCCTCTCTTCCCCATCCCTCCTCCGGGCCTTTGCCTGGGCTGGTCCTGCAACAGGGAAGCCCTCACCCTCTAACAAAGGTGTCTCAGACAAGCCTTCCTCTCCAGAAAGCCTCCTCTGAACCATGAAGGCCTTCACTGATTGATTGGGAAGCCCTTCACTGATTGACTGATGGATTAGAAAGCCCTTCACTGATTGACTGACTGGTCATTCATTCATTCAACAATATTTACTGGGTTCCTCCTCACAGTCAGGTCCTGTCCTGGGCCCTGAGGACACAGTTGTGAATGAAAAAGACCTCCCCTGCCCTCAGGAAGCTCACAGTCTGATGAGGGGAAAGTACACAATTGATTTATGACATAGACTGTATGTGCAAAGGGGCTGCTGGAATACAAAATGGGAGGTATTTGAGGAGCCCAGATTTGAAGAGCGAAGGAGGCCTGAAAGCTGAAAGAGAGGAAAGAGTTATGTGAGGAACAGATAAGCCATGAGGCTGAAGGTCAGCAGGACAGTGTCCTACAGGCCCTTGGAAACCTCTGGAAGGAACTTTCTGTCAAGGGTAATAGGGAGCCACAGGAGGGTTCAAAGCCAGGGAGGGCTGTGTGTAATAGGTTTTCTTGGCTGGTGTCCACTCAGGATCACGCTTACCCCCTACCCCCAGCCCACCAGGGCCCACTCACCAGTGGCACCAGCTGCCCCTTCTCCATGATTTCTGACAGCTTCTTGCCCCTGGCCGAGCCTGAGCTGACCTCGGCCCGCAGGAGATCTCCGGTGGAGAGGTGGGTGTAGCCATACTTCTGGACAATCTTCTCACACTGGGTGCCCTTCCCCGAGCCAGGCCCTCCTGCAAGCGCCCACCCATTCAGCGCCGAGAAACGGAGCCCCAGGAAGGACAGGGTTTGCCCCGTTCACCCATCCAGGGAAGGTCTAGGGTGTAGCCCCAGGCCAGGCTCCCATCAGTGCCTTCAAAGACCCCTCCTGCAGCACCGCCCTGCCGCATGGCCTGCCTTCGACTCACCCACCACAAAGACGATCTTGGTTGTCTTCAGCTTCTCTGAGGGAGACAAAAGGGAATATAGTTCAGTCACTCACCTAACAGAGCCAGGGACATCTCATTCTCGTGAGTACCAGGCACCAGGGACAGACTCAGGTCATGCTCCTGTCGGGGAGGCAGAAAATTTACAGCCCAGAGTGAGCTGTGATGGGGTGAGGAAAGTCCAGAGGCTGGGAGAGGTCAGGGAGGAGAGGGAGTTGCAGGCAGAGGGCCCAGCGTAGCCAGAAGCCCCAAGGCCAACCTTCGTGGCCTCTCCCTGTGGGTAGCTGGATTGCAGGGGCAGGGTCACCTCTGGCCTTGATGGCTTCCTCACTGTGGAGGTCAGCAGACACTGAGCAGAAGATCCCCATGGTCCTGTTCTGCTGTGTCCCTGACCCTTCCCCTCCCAGGCCCTGTTTCTGGCCATCACCAGCCTCCCAAGGCCAGCACTAATGTTGAGTTGGCAACCACAACGTATGTTGCTATGGAGATAACTGCTGGGGAGGAGGACTGTGGTGGGCAAGTGGAACCTTTGCCTGGAGCGGAAGGCAAGCTCACTCTGCAACCTCTGCCTCACCAGCCCTTAAAACTCAGCAAGACCACAGCTCTACCTGACAGAGGGTAACTGAGGCCTAGTGAGACAGGGGCCTACTCAAGGGGGTTACAGAATCAGACCTGGAACCCAGGCCCCTCTTCTTGGGTCTTCTATAAGGTTTTTGGAGCCCCTGGAATTAGATCCAATCCCACCTTACTGTGGGAGCTTAGGAAAGAAGCTCCCGCCCCAGTGAAAGGGGCAGGGGGGCTTGGCAACTCCTAACAGCCTTCCTGGCCACAAGGCTGGGTCCCCAAGACCTGAGTCCTAAGGGAGCAGAGGGAGGTCAGGCCCCCAGTGGTGATGGATGTCTGGAGCCCTAAGGGCAGAAGAGTGACCACTGGCTTTAGGTTCAGCAGCAGCCAGGGCCCACTGAGCTCCTTTAAGAACCACCCAACCAAGGCACAGCACCAGGGACAGGACTGGGGTGCTGCCAATAGCCAGGGATAGGCCCAGTCTGGGCCTTCTGCCTGCCGGTGTCTCCTTCCAGGTCCCAGGCCTTAGGAGTGAGGAGGGCCCACGGCACCAAAGCCCATCCCCACTGTACGATAGGAAAACTGAGTCTCAGAGAGGGGCAGGAATTTGCCTAGTGCTTATCGGGCTTCTACATTTTGCATACCTGTGATCTCTCCCTAGGGTGGGGATGTATCTCCCCAATGCCCACCACCCCCAAAAAGAGACAGGGAGTCTGAGCTCTACAAACACCAGTTTAGAAGGCATCCTGTGGGGCCCACAAGAAGCTCAGGGAGGCCTCATCGACTCTAAAATTAACCTGGAGCTCATGAATCCTGTGAGACCTTAGGGGGATGCCTCACCAGGAGCGTGCCACCTTCACAGATGGGCACACTGAAGTCCAGGCAGTGAGCAGGAAAGGGGAGGAGTCTCCTTACCTTCCATCTTGCCCAAGTCTGGGGAGCCGAGTCAGCGCTCTGTAAGACAAGACACAGGCAGGATGAACGATTCCACTCCCCTCCCTACCTCTGTTTCCACCAGGCCATATCCAAGGCATCAGGGTGCGGGCCAGTCTCCACCACACTCTCTGAGGGCAGAGGGTGCTGTTGGGGACAGGGGAGGCCCAAGAGGCTGAGTGGCTTTAGAAAAGTCACCTTTCCTCTCTGTGACTCAGTTTCCTAACCCGTCACAGAAGGGCAAGAATCCCCGCCCATCCATACCTGTTTCAGGTGGAGGGCCAAGGAGGCGAGGCAGCCCTGAGAGATGACAAGGGCAAAGGCTGCATTGCTACCTGCACAGCAACCAGAAAGCAGGGTGTGGCCCAGCATCAGCGGACACCTTGACAACGCTCCCCAGGGCCCGCACGTGTCACCTCCCTTGTCACCACACTGTGCCACCTCCCCCATCTCTCTGGGCCTCACTGTTCCCATCCAGAATGGGGCTTGGACAAGGTTGCTCCAAGAGACACAGAGGCCCCAGAAGGAGGACTCTAGGGAGATGCTTAGTTTTCAGAGTGGTGGCCCCAGGACCTTGGCCTATGCAGGGCCCGGCGTCTACCCTGCATGTTCCCTGCCCCTCTCACTCCCTTGAGGAATGTGCTCCACTGCCTCCCTCCCCTCTGCATATAAAAAACCCCTGTTACTCCTGCAGCCCCACACTGTGCCTTCACAGCCCTCAGACCCCTCAGATTCTGAAGAGCACCCCCACCATTTCCAGCTCTACATACCCACATCCAGACCTTCTACCTCCTAAACACCTCTCCAGTCTGTCCATAGCTCTCTTTCTCATCACTTGCTTATTCCAAGCAGGGGGCTTAGGCCACTGCCCCAGCCTCTGCATGGGTCTCCTTGCCTCCACACCTTAGGGGCAATCTGGAGAATTTTCTCTGACAAGCATCAAACCACATACTTGCCTGTTTAAAATCCCTCCAAGGTAAAGCCTGGGCCTCTTAGCACAGCTGACAGGGCCTATGATCTGGCCCCTACCACCCTCTTCTCATCCACTGCACTTGAGCTGCTTGGTGCCCCCTCACTTGCCATTGTGATGTCTCTCATGCAGGCTTTTGTTGATGTTGTACCCAATGCCTGGATGCCCTTCCCCAACTGGCTATTGTTTAGGACTCAGCTCAGGTGTCACCTCCTTCAGAGAGCCTTCCTGGCTTCTAGCCACTCCTACACTAGTAGGTGGCTTCTCTCAACTTCCTCCAGCCTCACACACTATATCATACCTTTCTGACTGCCAGCCTGCATGCCCCACCAGACTGGCTTGGCATGGCTGAGCACAGAGCTAGGAGATCTCGTTCTACCCTCATGGCAAGCTTGGGAGGGCTGCGGGCTGGGGAGACTATAAAGAGGGAACTGGGGCTCAGAAAGGAGGAAAGACTTGCTCAGAGGCCTGGCTGGCACTGGATTCGGGTCTGCATTTCCACTGCTCCAGAGCCTGGCACCTAATAGGACCTTAAGACTCTCTGCTGACTGTCTGGCATGAATCATAGCTCTTTTCCTGCTGAGTGTGCTTAAGAAGGGACAGGAGCTGCCAAGTGCCCCTTGGCAGCTACCTAGGAGAAGAAGAGGAGGGTCCCAGGGCCAGGGACAGCCTACAGTGGCATCTTGGGGAGTGGCCCGGACCCCGCTTCACCTCTCTCCCTTCCGGCAACCTAAGCCCCTCTGTCCTCCTGGCACTTGCCACTTCCTTAGTCCAAAATAACTTGGGTGGTGAGGAGGCCTCACAAAGGCCAGGGGGCTAGGGTAGGGTTGGGTTACAGGCTCAGCACCCAGGCCTTATAAGGCCCACAGGTCAGGGCCCCAGCAACTCCCAGTACGACTGAATGGTCTGCAGAGGGGCCTGGGGAGCCAAGGCTCATGGGACAGCAACTTAATCCCAGGCACAAGGCAAGGCCCAGGTGCCCCGACTCCTGACCTAAGGCCAGACTGGCCAGTGGTTGGTGACAGACTTGGGTTCAAACCCCGGCTCCATCACCCGGCTGTACGTATGACCTTGGGCAGCTGGCATCCTGTCTCTGAGCTGCACCCCCAGGGCCTGTCCTGATGCTACTGAAGAGTCCTGGGTGGGCAGCTAAGCAGTGCTGAACCCCCCAGGGCTCCCACAGAGCCCCCACCTTTCCAGGAGGCTGCAGAGGAAAGCCCAACATCCAAGGGGTTTCCTGTCCCCCTAGCCTCAAAGTCACATGGCAGAACAGCCCTTCTAGGTACACAGGCTGCCCCTAACCAGATCCTTTGGGGCAGAGAACCAGGCCACAGCACCCCCATCCCCAGATTCCAGCTGAGACGTGCCAAGGGCAGGGACCCAGAGGCCCAAGTGTGCCAGTTAGGACAAAGGAGTGACTGTCTAGGAGGCTGGGAGGGGCAGTAATATACTCATACACACAACGCACACACATCCACACATCCACACACCAATCCACAAAGGCATAGTGTGGCACAAATACTTAAAGCCTGTGGGATACAGACAAACCAAAATGCACAGATCACAACCATGGTATAAACACAGGCACACATGAAACTCACGGACACCCTGACACACACTAACACATCCTCCCCTCCCCCATCCCAGGTGCTGCTCCCCCGCTCCTCCCCCAAATAGGTACGAGCGCGCGCACGCACACAGACACACACTGACCTGGGGGGAGGGGTGCGGGTGGGCGCCAGGGGCCAGCGCGTGCCCTGCCGTCCTCAGCTGGCCGCCCGCAAAGGCGACTATTTATAAGGCTGTCAGCGCGCGGCATGCCGGGAGCCAGCGCTCCGTGATGGCAGGCAGGGAGAGAGGGCGGGAGCGAGGGAATGCCGACTGGGATGGGAGGGGGCTGGACCCGAGTGGAGCCCTGATGGGGGAGGTCAGAGCAAGGCTGGCACCGCGGCCCGTGCACCCAACAGGTGGCTGTCCCTACACACATGCACCACACTTCGCAATTTGCCAAGACTTTTCCATCCCTCTATTACCTCCACAGATGCCAGCATCACTCCAAGAGGACAAGGCCAGCCTTCTCATACGTAAGCTAGAGAAACTGAGGTCCAGAGGGGAAAGGCTTTTACATAGATCCCACAGCAGAGAGATGGTGCAGAGAGAGGGAGAGGAATGAACTCAGGCTTTGCTGTCCAGACCAGTCGTCCAGCCCCTCCTTGTATCCTGGGCTGAGACCTGCCTGAGACTCCCCCTCCTCTGTTGGGAAGGCCCCCCAGGAACCCCTCTGGGGCTAAATCTCCCCAGGGCCTCAAAGACCACCACATACCCAAACCCCAACCACTGACTCAGAACTCAGATTATCAAAATCAGTCCTGCCCCCCAACAGACTCGTCTGCTGGGAAGTTCCAGTGACTAGGAGTATGAGGATGGGCCGTTCAGAACTCAGGCACCCAGATGGGGACTGATAAGTCCCATTAATTGACCACTCACTATGCACCAGGTGGTGGGCAGAGCACACAGTAGCAGGTGCTTAATAAATGTGGCAGGACAGGGCAAGAGCCCAGGACCATCCAACTCCAAGGCTCAAGGCCTCCTTGACCACTAGACTGTGTCATGTTCTTGAAGGCAGCAGCGCCAAGTGGTAGGGTGGGTTGAATTTGGAGTTTGCCTTGTAGGTACTAGGGAGCCATGAAGGTGTGAAACCACCAGGAGAGTGAATCTGCCTTAGGAGGGTGGCACCTTAGCAACAGCAGCCAGGACATCAGGAGGCCCAGGTCTGGTCCAGCTCTGCCACCTGTGACATCAGATGAGGACCTTACTTTTGGGGACTTTTGTCTCATCTTTGGTTGGGGGGATGATGCAGTGAGTCAGAGGTTCAGCATTAGAAGTTGTCCTCTCAAAGGCTGTTGGTGGGTGTGTGCATTGGTGCAACCTTTGGGGAAAGCAAACTGATGATATAAATAAAAATTTTAAGTGTGCCCACAATTCTACTTTTAGCAATACACTTCAGGGAAACACACGTGGGCACAATATAGTACAGGATGGTTCCCTACTGCCAGGGGGACGCTGGTGGGAGGGACAGTGGGACAGCCAGTGGGAGCGAGGGGAGGTGAGTACTGTCAGTGTGAGAAAGGAAGCCAGAGATTTTCAGGGCTGGTGGGGGCAAGAAGCCCTGAATACACATCGCTAGTCTGATCCCACCTGTGAGAAAATTCTGAACATCCAGGCAGGGGTGTGTGTGTGCATGCGGTGTGTAAAATCTATTTCAAGATCCATACTTTTTGCATTGTAGCATCTCTGAAATCCAATTGTCTTACAATCTTAGAGTCTATGAAATGAAGCAAGGAGCCCTGGTGGCGTAGTGGTTAGAACATTCGACTGCTAACCAAAAGGTCAGTGGTTTGAACCCACCAGCTACTCTGTGGGAGAAAGATGAGGCAGTCTGCTTCTATAAAGATTTACAGCCTTGGAAACCCTATGGGGCAGTTCTACTCTGACCTATGGGGTCACTAAGAGTCAGAATGACTTGACGGCAGTGGGTTTATTTTTTTATGAAAGGAAGCAGAACTGACAAGAGGGGTGATGATCCCCCCGCCCTGGTGGGACTTTTCCTCTTACTGAAAGTCTTACCCATGCTTGTGTGTGTGTGTGTGTTAAATACAAGTATATATTTAACATAAAATTATTTCGTTTGCATGTGACCTATGGATTTGTCACCAATACTGGGGTATTAAAATGTCAGGGTTTTTTCCCAGCTAAATCTGAAGAAAGGAAACAAAGAATGAAGGAGGGAGGGAAGAAGGAACAAATGGAAGGAAGGAAAGGAGAGGGAGGGAGGGAGGGAAGCAGGAAAGAAGGAGAAGAGAGGGGAAAAAGGAGGAAAAGAGAGAGTGAGACAGGAAGAAGAGGGGGAAGGAAAGGAAGGGGGAGGGGAAATTACATGGAGGAAAAACCTGGAAGATTATACCAGGACTAGAAATCTTCTCACTCGCTACCTTATATAATTTGTACAGCTTATTATTTTATAACAGACATTCTTAAATACTTAACAAACATACGCATAGAAAACTGAAAGCAATTGTTCAAAACGATGTTGATTAAAGAAGGAATTTGAGGCTTGAAAACAAGCCAGCATCAAGAGATGATGGGACCTGCCTCACTCGGAGGATCGCAGCTGCATCCACAGGGTCCCCACAGAGTCCAAAGCGCAGGGCTGCCCTGGGCGGGCCCTGCTTGTGGAACCAGCAGAGCTAGAACTGCTCAGCATCCTCAGGAAACAGCTGAAGCGAGCCCAGAAGAGAGTCCGCTTCAGGAAGTATATGCTGAGTTTGCAGCTGGTGGAAGGGACTGTGGAAAATAGGCACCACCCTCCCAGGAGGGGTGGGGGTCCCTTTCCACAGAGGTGAGGAAACACATGGCTCACAGGGATATCTGGAAGGGTGGAAGGGGTGGAAGTGGGGGTACAGGTGAGGATATAGGTGCAGGAAGGCATTGAAATGTTCAGTGAGGTGGTGGGCTTGGTCCTGGCCACAGTGGGGGAGCCAGCAAAGGTTTCAGAGCTGAAAGGAGTATCAGAGTATGGACTTCAGAGAGATGACTATGTTAATGACCAGACCAGTCCTCCTGGGACTGAGAGGGTGAGAGTGTGAGGTGGAGGAGTTGGGGACTCAGCCCCAGGCCTCCTGCCTTCAGCATCCTCCACCAAGTCCCACCTCCAGATGCTATACAGCTTTCCAAGAGACCTCCCCTTGAAGACACCAACCCCTCTTGGCACTCTCCTGCCAACCTTCCCTCACACCCACCAATAGAGAGACAGAAGAACCAAGGCATTCTGGGAGAAATGAGAATACCTAGAAACCTCTTTTTTTGCGTGGGGTTGGAAGTGTGCCATATTCCCATACGCCATACACAGGAGGGGCTTTAAGCTTCTCAGGCAATGACTACACAAGCAAGGAGTCCGTGGCCCTCTGGAATACTGCCCCTGAAGCCGGCAGAATCAAAGCGCAGCCCACATCCTGTCTCTTACCTCCACTGGAGGTAGTTAAGTAAACAGGATAACTCAGTTCCTTAAGAACTGAATAGACTGTAAGGTCAATTCACACATCCTCTCCATGTTTTCTCCATAATATAGGTGGTAAGTATGTTAATGTGTTTCAGAAACAACTTGAAAGTTAACTTTGGCCAGCAGACAGGTGCAGTGAGACAAACTGGGAACTTTCTCCCCTCTGCCCAAGCCTCGATCAGCTGGTCCTACTTCACCCCCATCTCTGTGTCCTGCTCCCCCAGAGCTGTGTCTGGTCCACCCCCATATCCTGGACCAGCCTCCTGCCCTTCCAGAGGCTGCCTCCCTTGTCTTCTCCAAACCAGAAGCATAGAGGCTCCACCCTCAGGCTGGCGTTCATGGCGGTGGGCCATCTGGCCCAAGTGCTCTCATCTCCCGCTGCTCCTTTCTGCTGCAGCCAAACTGGTCCCACCATCTACTGAGAGGCCACTTCCCCCACCAGGCTGTGCCTTATACCACTCTGCCCACCGGGCAGCCCCTCATGCGTCGACTGCATCAGTGTGTGGCACATTGCTGCTTATCATTCAAATGTATACATGAATTGACAAATGCAAGAGACCATTGTTGCCTCTAGTCCTGGTGGCCCACCATCCAGCTGGCGCACTGCCAGGGGAGAATTCTCTTTCTCCATCCCCAGCAGCCCAGGGCCCCTGGGAGATCCCAGCAGAGGCTGGCTGCCCTTGTCTCACAGTTACCCTTTGTTTGGCCTCTGCTCCCAAGGGCATCTTATCTGCCTAAACAGGTTGTAATTTCCTGGAGTCAGGGACCCCTTCTACCAGCCAACCTGGAGTAAACAAGGCTTTTTGATGTGAGGCTGGCAGCAGCAGGAGCAGGGTTCTGGGAGTCTGACCTCCCTTCAGTCTGACCTCCCTCCTCCCTCTCCACCAGGATCACAGCCCTGCCTGCCTCTCTGCTACTGAGCCAGGCCTGCACCCCCTGGCATTCTGCATCCTGGGTCTGTCTGGGTATATATATGCATCTCTCTCTCTCTCACTCACACACACACCACACACTCCTGAGCTCATTCCTCTCTGGCCTCCTCCAGAGATGCCTGGCTGCTTATGGTTGCAAGAATTTCACTCTTCCTGCCCCCTTCCCCTCCCAACCTGGAAGCTCTTCCCACAGACCTTCGCTGGCCTCCTCAGCTTCCTGGCCTCAGGCAAAACGCTCACCTCCTCAGAAGTCCCTCTCACAGCTAGTACCTGGTGTTAGCTAGTACCTGGTGTTAGTGCCTTCACAGCCCTTCCCCCTAAGGCAAGGACCATCTAAAGTAGAACTAGTCCCTCTCCTCCCTAGAATCCAAGCTTCGAGCTCCTTCTCTTCCAGAGCCGTGTCTGGTTGTAGCTGGTCTCTCTTCCCAGATGAAGGGACTGAGAAGTGAAGTGACTTGCCCAAGGTAACAGACAGGAAGAGGCAGGGACAGGGGGAGCCAGATGGGCTTGGTTCCAGCCCCCATAGCTGCCAGTCGGCATGGCACGGACTCACTGGCCGGCTGAGAAAGCTGAACCTCCCACTTCTCTCTGAGTGCCCAGACACGAGGGTGGGGCACCGTCCTGAGGAAGCTCTCAGCGCTGGGCCAGAGAGGGCTGAACTTGACTGGAAGACACAAGAAAGCAAGCCAGAGCTTAGGTGCATTTATTCCTATAGAAATCGTTACAAAAACAAATCTGGGGCAGTCACCAGCCCCCCGCCCCAATGTGCAATGGCTGCCTGCAGGCCTCTACCTCTGACCCCTCCCCCTCCATAACCTCTAGGAAGCCCTCTTGAATCTTCCCTTCCAGACTCAGAAGGAGCAGGGGGCTAATTCTCTCCGGTGAGGCCCAGCAATAAAGTGCAAGGGGACAGAACACAGACAACACGGCTCCTGGCCTGCTACATACACCAGGCATGGCTGGGGAGACCCTGGAAGTCCCCAGTGGCTCCAGACAAGAGAACCACACGAAACCCAAGTTTGGCTGGGTCCCACCCCTTCCTCACCCCAAGGGCTCAGGCCAGGCTCCTCCAACAAGTAGAGGGGCCTTTCCTGGATGATGAAAAGGAGACCTGGCCCTTTAAGAGCCAAGCCAATGCCAGTAGGGCTGAAAGGACTAAGAAAACAGCTGAAGGTTTGTTCCATTCTTGTCAGAGTCCCCCAACCCGGAGGAGTTTGCGCAAAAATACCCTAAAGTTTTCCAGAAGACAGTGGAGGAGGGAACTCCAAAAACCCAGAGAGCTGAGCCTCCCAGCAAGGGGTAGTGGCTGGAAGGGTCCAGTCTTAGGGAGGACAGACCCAAGAGTGGTCAGGTCAGTGGGGAAGGTGAGGAGAGGACCTCAGATTCTACATCAGAACCTGGCACAGGCAGAAGGGTCCCCAGAGAGGAGGAGGGATTTGCCCAAGGTCACTTGGCAGAGCCAAGACCCACATTCAGGACTTCTATTTCTGCGAGCTACCCACAACCCCCACAAATTCTCTGGCTCAGCCTCTAGACAGCTCCTACCCCCACACAATGGTCTCTTTCTGGCACTGGGAGGTGATGGAGTCATACAGAGCTCCCAGATTCCTGGGACAGGACCCCACTGTCCCATCCAACTGAGGAGTGATTTGGGAGCCCATTCCTGGGGCTCTGAACCAAGGCCTCATGAGAAAGGACATGTCCTTGGCCTCAGATTGGCTCAGAAATGGTCCCATACCCTGATTGACTATGCTCGAACCCTGATTGGATAGAAATACCTCCCTGACACTCGATTAACCACACAGAATCCCAAATCCCTGATTGGCCAAGAGATACAACCAGGCCCCAGTTGGCTGGAGGATACATCCTCTTCAAGGCCCTAACTGGCCGGAAAACACTCCAGCCAGCCTGGACTGGCCAGGAGATGCTCCATGGTTGAGCTCCTTCTCCTGTGTCCCTTGTGAAGTCCCCACAGGCAAGGTGGCCTAGGTCCAGGAGGGGTGGGAGAAGGTGATGCCATACAGCTGGGCCCAGGATGAGAAGACCCTCTTCTCGGTGATGAAGCGGTGGTGGTTGCCCTTGTGGCTGTGCTCATTCTGGATGTAGGTGATACACTCGTCTGGCCCCTTGGGCTCATAGTAGTGGTAGGGCGTGCGCTGCAGGCGGGGCCGCTGGCTGGGGCAGAGCAGATGGGGGCCGTAAGGGCAGGGAGTGCATCAGCAGAACACCTGCCCAGGGCAGGGCTTAGGCTTTCCAGCCTCTGACCTGCTGTAAGACCTCAGTGGGGGAAATCCTTGCCCCTCCTTGGGCCTCAGTTTCCCCATCTGTAAAATGGGTATAGGGTAGGCTACATTTGTGATCGTCAACTGTCTTTTTTCTTTTTTAATGTAACAGAGCCTTTTCATTTCCCCAAGATGACAACAGTATGTGGTAGTGTGGGGACCGTGGACCCTAGAGGTTGTTCCCACCTCTTAATACTTAATACTCTTAATACTTGTGGAACCTCTCAGAACATTCTCCTCTATTTTTTTCATCTATGGAATATGGAACTAACAAATCTGTCTTGGAAGAAGTGCAGCTGGAATGCTTCTTGGAAGCGAGAATGGCCAGACTTCGTCTCACCTACTTTGGTCATGTTGTAAGAAGGGACCATTCCCTGCAGAAGGATATCATGCTTGGGAAAATGGAGGATCAATGAAAAAGGGGAAGGCGCTCTACAAGGTGGATTGACACAGTGGCTGCAATGATGGGCTCAGGTAGAGCAAGGATTGTGGAGCCGGCACAGGACCGGGCAGGGTTTCATTTTGCTGTACACAGGGTCGCTATGAGTCAGGAGACAACTCGACGGCACTTAACAACAATACGGGATAGGGAGATTAACAGTATCTCTCCCTTAGGGTTGCTGTGAGAAGTAAATGAATAATAAATGCAGCCAGGCTTGACACATGATCAGCACTCAGTAAAGAGGAGCTGTCACCTAGTAGGTGTTTCATAAAATAATAATAAATTCTGGCTAAGCTTGGGGTAGGGGAACTGGTGGTGCAGTGGTTAAGCAATCAGTTGCTAAATGAAAGGTCAGTAGTTCAAATCTACCAGCCGCTCTATGGGAGAAAGATGTGGCAGTTTGCTTCTATAAAGATTACAGCTTTGGAAACCCTATGGGGCAGTGCTACCCTGTCCTAGACAGCAATGGGTATTTTTGTTTGTTTGTTTGTTTTTCAGCTTGAGGTAAAGACCTATGAGGCATCCTCAGGAGTCTAGATCTCTGCAGAATAGTTTGAATGTCATGGAATAGAGGTCCTCAAAGGCACCCGAACCAATGTTTCCAGGTCCCCTAGCTCCTCCCACTATCAGCGACTGGGTGTTGTCCTAGGAGGGCACTGGCTAGGAGAGCTCACCTACAGTAGTCAGGTGGGACCATGCCATACACATGCACGTGGTCACACAGCTCCACTGCAATCACCATGGTGAACCAGCCAGTGCTCAACCACGAATGGGACTTCTCCCTGGCAACAGAGAAGGGTCATGATGAGGGGTGCACAGGCAGGGGTGAGGAGGAGGCAGGGAAGAATGGCCAACCCCTGGAATTTTCTGGAACTCTTCCCACCCACCTGTTAGAGCCCTCCTCCCACCTCAGTTAGCCCCTAGGCCAGCCCTCCTTGGGAGTAGGGTATGCTAGCAGAGGGCTTGCTTGGGCAGAGATGAGGGATGTGGACAGAGCTACTATGAAGGAAAGAGTGGGAGCAGGGTATCCTGGAAAGATGCTCTCCTGAGGAGACGTCAGAACTAAGCAGGCTGGGAGTGACCATGAAGCATGCTAGAAGCAGCCGTACCCATGCAAGTCTCCCAATGGGAAGTAATCAGAAAAGGTCATGCTGGGAGTGGCTACAAATGCAGAGCAAAGCCTGGGAGAAGTAGGCAAAACCTAGAGTTGTATTGTCCATCACAGCATCCATAGCCATGAATGAATACCTTGATCTGAGGCTGTGATGTGCTGTAATTGTAAAATATACATTGGATTTTAAAGGTGGTGTGAGAAAAAGAAAAAAGAATGTAAGATATGTCAGTGATAATTTTTCTGATATTGGTTACATATTGAATCTATTTTGGATATAATCGATTAAAGGTGGTTCTTGGAAAAGTTTTTTTGTTTGTTTTTTTAAAATAGATAAACCTCACCTCTCTCAAGACTGACAAGGAAAAAGACAAGACACAAATTATCAATATGAGGACTGAAAAAGGTGATATCGCCATAAACCACGAGATGTTAAAAGGATAATAGGAAAATATCACAAACAACTCTGCATATGCAAATTTGACCACGTAGATGAAATAGGCCAATATCTTGAAAACCACAAACTACCCAAACTCACGCAAGATGAAATGGATAACTTGAATTTCCTCTATCTATTAAAGAAATTGAGTTCATAGTTTAAAGCCTTCTGAAAAAGAACTCTCCAGACTCAAAGGGTTTATTTCCTTAGCAAATCCTACCAAACATTTAAAGAACAAGTAACACCAATTCTACCAGAAAATAGAAGAGAGAACGCTTCCCAATTCTGAGGCTAGCATTAACGTGAATCTGAAACCAGACAAAACAGTACCCCAAAAAAATTATAAACCATTATCTCTCATGAACACAGACATGAAAATTCTCAATAAAATATTAGCAAATCAAATCCAGTAATCTATTATAAAAACAACACATCACAACCAAGTAGGGTTTATTCCATGAATACAAGGCATTTCAATACTTGAGAATCAATCATGTAATCTACCATGTTAATAGTCTTAAGAAAAAATACATGATCATACAATATAATTGATGAGTAAAAATTTTGATAAAATCCAACATCCAGTCCTGATAAAAACGCTCTCAGTAAATGAGGGCAAGAAGGGAACTTCCTCAACTTGATAAAGGACAGAGATAAAAACCCATAACTAACATCATACTCAATGATGGAAGACTGAATGCCTTCCCTTTACTACTGGGAAAAAGCAAGGCTCTCCACTTATACACTTCATAAAATTCAACAGTACATTGGAAATTCTAGAAAGTGCAATACAAGAAAAAGAAAAGACGGAAAGTGGGCAGATTGGAAAGGAAGAAAACTGTCCTTATTTGTAGACACATGATTATCTATTATCTCAAAGAATCTAGCAATGAACAACTGGTAATTAAAATAAAATAAAAAAATTATAGTAGCTCCAAAAATTTTAAATATTTAGTTATAAATCTAACAAATCATGTACAGGATCTATATGTTGGACATTTTGAATTAAATAAAATATATTCAACTTAATTAACCTGCTTCTTTTTATTTTTTCAATGTGGCTACTCTAAAATTTTAAATGACATATGTGGCTTGCATTGTAGTTCTATTGGAAAGCACTAGCCTAGACTACAACTCTGTAGAGCTTTCCTACGGAGATTAGCTAGAGCAGTGCATTTTGGGAATGATATATCCTTAGAATAGAGCAGGCTGGGAGAAACTGAGTCAGAAGGGGTGTTCTTTATTTTAAAGCAAGATATGCTGGGAACAGTCAGCCAAGACTTTAGATTAAGTATGGGAGTTCCTAGAGAGATGCTAGGAGTGACCTTAGAACAGAGCATACCAGGACCTCTTGTTTCTTCAGAGCAAGGCATGCAGAGAGGAAGGCTCTCTAGAGGAGGCGAGTCAGAAAAAGGCATGCTGGGTGCAGATTTGCCTTTAAGACTTGCTGGGAGGATGCTCTCCTGTAGAGAGTCATCAGGGCAAAGGCCTAATGAGATGAGCATGTCCTCAAAGCAGAGCATGCTGGGAGGAAGCCCTTCTGGGGAGGCAAAGCCACACAGAACATGTTAAAAATGACCCATGCTATGAGTTGCACATAACAACTCTCCTAGGAAATGCGACCAGAGAGTAGCACCCTCAGAGCAGTGCATACTGGAAGCCAAGGCTCTCTGGGCAAGGCATGCTGAGAAGGAGCACAAGGCTAGCCAGAGGAGGCAGGTGGGAGGCTGGTACCTGTCCTTGCCCGTCTCACCCCGGAAGAGGTCGTCAAATTGGTGCATGCGGGCGGGAGAGACGGCGTAGGCCTCCATGTTGGGGAACGCCAGGCCTGCCCGCTGGATGACGCGCACAAGGGTGCCCTGGGGCTTCTGCATCTTGCTCGGGGGGCCCCAGAAGATGAATACGGTTTCAGGGGTCCGGTTGACAAACTCCTGGGGCCTCCGCAGCACACGGAACACACTGGAATGGGCCACTACACGGAAGGTGGTCTTGTTGCCCACATCAGCTGAGTAACCTGTGGTAGGCGCGTCGTTCATGCGGATGGTGCACTCAGCCCGCTCAATCTCAGGGCCCAGCTTGGTGCCCAGCAGGTGGCTAGAGCTGGTGACAATCACACACTGGTGGCACCGGGAGGGCAGTGTCTAAAGGACAAGGAAGGTGAATATCATTAAGACCACTCCATGCTGGACCTTGTGCTCTGTACAACCAGGCCACCAGGAGACAGAAATTATTATGCCCATTTTAAAGACTGGGAAATTGAAACTCATTCATTCAACATTCAGTACATAGTTATAGCAAGCTGGCTAATGGCAGGCTCTGTAGCAAAGAGCAAGTCAGACCCAGCCCCTAAAAGTTCACAATCAGGGAGACAAAGAGTGAATGAGTAAAATAATAAATTATGCCAGGTAGTGATATGTGCAAAGAAGAAAATGAAATAGGGGGAGAGGGATCAAGAGAGCCTGGAGAGGAGCTACTTTGGAAAGGTCGTTCCAGGGAGCCTAAAGGATAAAAAGGAGCCAAAGGAAAAGTATTCAAGGCAGAAGATCAAGTACAAAGGCTCTGAAGTAGAAATGAACAGTGTGCAGAGAACCAAGAGAAGGTCACTCAATCGGGGCAGTTACCAAGCAGGAGATGAGAAGAATCGTGTAGGCACGTCCCCAACATCAGACAGCATAGGAATGCGGGGCCAGGATTTGAACCCAGTTCTGTATGACTACCAAGCCCCACTCTTCTCAGCTTCAGTCCCAATTCCCCAAACAGGACGATTTTTCAAATACATCTTAGACATTTCCACATCAGTCATAAACAAGAGAACCAAAAAAAAAAAAAAAAAAAATTACCATCAAGTTGATTGCAACTCATAGCTACCACTTCATTATTATGGAAAAGGTGTGAAAGCCATTCTGGGCCTCTGTTTCCCCATCTACGAAATCAATAGATTGGAACTGTACGCTCTTTGGGGCCTATTTTCCATCCATGAATTCCTGTTCACCATTTAGAGATCAGCTCCAATACCACCTCCTCCCAGGCAGTCTTCCCTAAGCCCTTCCTCCAAGATCCAGCAACATGCTGCATGTACCTCAACTGATGGTTTTTCCTGTTTTCCTGAGCTCTAGTGTCCTTTGCTTCCCTATCAGGCTAGAAGCAACCTCAAAGCAGGTTCTGCCTCTTCTCTTCCCTTCTCTTTTCACCCTTACTCAGGCTGGACCAGTTTCCCCAGAGTTCTGCCATTATTAATTCCCCTTTCAAAGAGCTCTGGTGACGCAGTGCCTAAGGCATTGGACTGCTAACTAGAAGGCTGGTGGTTCAAATCTACCAGCCACTCCTCGGAAGGAAGATTGGGCAATCTACTTCTGTAGTGATACCGCCTCGGAAACCCAAGGAGGGGTCACTATGAGTCGGAATCGGAATGGACTCAGACTCCAAGACAGGGAGTTTGGGTTTGTTTTTTTTTTGGTAGGATAAAGTCTCAATTGGGTGCTAATCTGTCTCTTCCCACTTGCTAATGAACCCTTTCCAAGTGAGGGAGTGCAAGTGAGGGAGTGTCCAGAGCCCAGGGCTTCAAACTTAATCAAAGGTCCTAAGGCAAAACTGGGAGGGCCAGCCAGGGAGAGAGGCAGGCAGGCTGGAGAGGGCAGGGCTTCAAGGAGAACTCCTCCTCTTGCAAGGCTAACTCCACGCTCGCTCAAGCCAATTATTTTCTCCCTGATCCCAAAGAAAACAATTGGGGCTTGGAAGCCTATGAGATGAACCCCAGAAATTCAACCTGAGTTTCACGGCTATCCAAGGCAAACAAAAGTCCCCAAGAATGACTTTTGGCCCCTCAATGCTCTGGTGGCATAGTGGTTAAAGCATTCAGCTGTTAAAAACAAGGTTGGCAGTTCGAATCCACCAGTCACTCTGCAGAAGAAAGATGTGGCAATCTGCTTCTATAAAGATTTACAGCCTTGGAAACCCTGTGGGGCAGTTTTACTCTGTCCTAAGCAATCAGTATGAGTTGGAATTGACTCGTCAGCAACAGGTTTATTTATTTATTTTTTGGTTTATGCTTCCTTAACTCAGCAGAGGTTGGGGCAATACCATGTAATCAACGAGGAAACAAGGATTTAAAGGAATGTTCCAGTGCATGCCAATTTTAAAGTCCCAGAAAGACCATGGCTGTGGTTATCAAACCTAACTTCTATCTCAGCTCCTCCCCTCCCTTACAGCATGGTTTTGGAACAGTATCTTCACCTCTCTAAGCCTCAGTTGCTAACCTCGCATTACTGGTCTCAGAATTACTGATGACCATAGTGCCTGGCACACAGCAGGCACTTGATAAAGAGCAGCTGTTATTATAACTGTCAAGTACCCAAGTGTCCTGCCCCCAAGCCCTCTGTGGGCCCACCAGCAGAAACAGAGATCAGTAAAGACCAGAGATACGTTTCCACAGGGATTCTGAGTCAGGAGACTTAGAATATTAATGCTGAAGTGGAGACCTTGGAGAGAACTGAGGCCCAGAGGGGGAAGGGAAGTTATCCAAGGTGATACAGCAAGCGAAGGACTGAAGTCACTGGAAGCCAAGGTCTCTGACTCCCGGAGTCCACCATTTCCTTTAGGAGGGGCGTGATAGCAGAGAGCAGAGGTGGCGGAAGAAAAAGGAGCAGTAAGGATGGGCAATGGGGAGGAACAGCCAGCAGGCAGCTCCTAGGCAGGCTCCTTGAAAGTGGCTGGCCCTACCTTGTTGCCAAGAAGGGGGATGTAGCCATCAGTGATGCTCCACTTTTTAAGGTTGATGGGCCGGCGGATGCGACCCCGCAGGGAACCGTAATGGAAGACCTCATTGGCACTGTTGGAGCTGTAGAGGATGAGGATGGTGATGAGGGCAAAGAGGATCACGAACACTGCTGATCGCTGCTCCTGGAGAGGGGAGAGGCTGGTGAGGGTCCAGCCCCACGGCAGCCTTGCCACCCCACTTCCTTACACCCAGCTATAACTCCTGCTCTTCATTCCCAGGCCACTGCAGACACCAGCTTCTCCAGGGAGGTCTCCAACAACCCTCTGAGCACCCCCTCCATTACAGCATAGATCTGAATGTCAATCTCTCCCCTAATTTAAAGCCTAGAGGGATGGGTCCACCTCATTCCTCATCATATCCCAGTGCCCATAGTGGGGCCTGGCATCCAGTAGGTCCTCAGAGAGGGTTTGCTGGATTAGATTGGCTATGGATGTTAGGATCCCTCCAGTTACAGCTGGGAAGATGCCTGGAGACAAGTGATTGATCTGAGTGAGAGGGTCTGGGTCTCTCCGAAAGTAACTTTACATAGATGTTTATCATTCAGTTAAACCAGAAGAGAGGTGTTCTGATCAAGAATTGAAATAGTATCAGTCGTCAGTGTACCAGCGTGTGGCTGTGGGGGCTGGATAGCAGATAGTGTCTAAGGCTGGGATTTATATGCTCAGGCTCTGCAAGGCTGGGCAAGACCCAGGAGTCCTCCTTCACCACAGCTGGACCAGTCAAGCCTAGGGGGACAATGGCAAGACCTGGGCCCAGAGAGAGGGAGGAGCTTATTGAGGGCCACGTAGCAGATCAGTGACCCGAGCACAGCTCAAACCTGGTCCTCCCAGGCATTAGTTGCTCCTGGCAGGGAGATTTGTGATGGCCTAGGTTCTAGGCAGCTCCAAAGGAGCTGATTTCACAGGGAAGAAGGAGAGGTTCAGATGGGGAGAAGAGATAGGGGGAGACTTACTTTGTTGCTACTCATCTCTCCCCGGCGTCTGCTGAAAGGTGGGGGCCGGCGTCCTGAAGGTGGCCCGGGGGCCAGGGTTGAGGGGTCACACCTGCAAGCCACCAGAAAGGTTTATGATATGGGCACCCTCCCCTGGCCCCAGCTGGCCAAAGGTTACAGCCCTACACCCTCCCACCGCCCATCAGATTTCTTGCCCACCCAGAACTTTAAGACTCAAGGCCATATCCATTTTGTAGATGAAGCCACTGAGGCCCAGAAAGGGCAGGGACCTGCCTGAGGTCACAAAGCCAGGCGGTGGCAGAGCCCTGTTCTACCTGCCCCTTGATCTCTCTCCCACGCTTCTCTGAGCAGGAGCCTCCCCACACCCAGGCTCCCCTGCTAGGGGACCTGCCCCCACACAGCAGGGGCCCACCCCACCCCCTGCTCTATACCCTGTCTCAGAGCCTGGTGGCCTCAAAATTAAGCAACACTCTTCCTCCACACAATCCCCAATTCCTTTTCTCTCTCCATTCCAGGTCTTGTATAAATGGTCCTCTCTGCCTGGAAACCCTTCCCTCCTGCACCCTGTACCCAGCTAACTGCCGCTCGTCTTCCAGGCCTGAGGTGGATCAGGAGCCTCCCCGGGGTCCTCCCCTAACTGTGTTCATCTGGGTCCTTGCCGCTTCTCCAGGCTGACAGCTCTCAGAGGGCACAGCTGGCACAGGTCCCCGCATTCTCAGAGAAGGCACAGCGTGGGAGTGTCACTGAATGAATAAATTCATTAACCTCCTAAGATTTTGGTCGTTAAGGTCATGGGGACTCACTTCTGAGACCTGGTTCTAGTCCCAGCTCCATCATTGACTAGTTGGGTCACTTACCTCCCTACCCTCAGACTCCTCATGTCAAATGGCTGTAGGCACAGCCCCCAGGGCAGGGGAACCTTAAAGAGACAATGCAATCTTGGCCTGAAACTTCCTTCTTGCCCTCAGCCTCAGCTGTGAGGGGACAAATCTAGCTCCACCACTTACTCCCCAGGCCCTTGAAGGGTTGAACTCCTTTCCAGACCTCAGTTTCCCTACTTGTATAAAGGGAATGAGGAGCCCTGGTGGTGCAGTGATTAAGCGCTCAGCTGCTAACCAAAAGGTCTACAGTTCAAATCCACCAGCTGCTCCATGGGAAACAGATGTGGCAGTTTGCTTCTGTAAAGATTATAGCTTTGGAAACCCTATGGGGCACTTCTACTCTGCCCTAAAGGGTCTCTTTTAGTCAGATTCCACTCCAAGGCAACAGGTTTTGGTTTATAAACGGAGTAAGTTTGTGTCCAGTCTACCTCCAACAGATTCAGAAAGCGGTAAGGGAGGAGATGTTAGGCCGAACCAAACCCAAGCCACCAACATTTCAGTTAGCAGCTTCCTCCGGTGTCAAGCCCTGATGAGACAGCCTG